GAGTATAACACCAGGCACATCTACTGAAGCGCACATCAATCAAATAACTGCTGCAGGATATGGGCGCCTAGCAAACCTCAGAACAGCATTCCGACATCTTAATAAGGAATCGTTCAGGATACTGTACACTGTGTACGTTAGGCCCATATTGGAGTATGCGGCACCAGTTTGGAACCCACACCTAGCCAAGCACGTAAAGAAACTAGAGAAAATGCAAAGGTTTGCAACAAGAATAGTCCCAGAGCTAAGAGGTATGTCCTACGAGGAGAGGTTAAGGGAAATCAACCTGACGACACTGGAGGACAGGAGAGATAGGGGGGACATGATAACGACATACAAAATACTGAGAGGAATTGACAAGGTGGACAAAGACAGGATGTTCCAGAGATTGGACACAGTAACAAGGGGACACAGTTGGAAGTTGAAGACACAGATGAATCACAGGGATGTTAGGAAGTATTTCTTCAGTCCACAGAGTAGTCAGTAAGTGGAATAGTTTGGGAAGCGATGTAGTGGAGGCAGGATCCATACATAGCTTTAAGCAGAGGTATGATAAAGCTCACGGTTCAGAGAGAGTGACCTAGTAGCGATCAGTGAAGAGGTGGGGCCAGGAGCTCGGACTCGACCCCCGCAACCTCAACTAGGTGAGTACAACTAGGTGAGTACAAACACACACACACACACACACACAGACACACACACGCACACACACACACACACAGTAAGCCTACCGAAGAAAACGAATAAAAAGACTCACGAAACCGTAATAACACGACTGCAAGCAAACCACGGTACAGGTTGGGATTGAACTCGCGGCTAGTGAGCGGTAAAATTTCAGGCCAGCGCGTAAACCATCTGTAAAAACTTGCATTTGTGGTCACAGTGGTGGCCCATGCTAACCTCCCTGTGATGTATAAATATACCTATTTGCATGAATCTTATTGTAAGCAGCTGGTCCAGTGGCTCACGCACTGGCCTGGTGTTTTACGGCTAACTTTCCGCGGGTTCGATCCCAACCCGTACCGTGTTTTTTTTTTTTTTTGTAACTCAGGATAACCCAATAAAATCAGGATGTCATTGGGGATCCTCTACTCTCACCCTCAGGATAATGCGACCTCACTCCAATTAATTAATATTCAGCTACTTTACTGCTTAGGTGAATAGGGGAAGCAGATGTGAGGCAGCATTGCCCAATCTTTTCAGCCATGGCGGGGAACGAACCCCGGTCCCTGGGTGTGTGACCTTAGGACCTGACCTTTCCTACACATACAGTGCCTTCCTTCTTACTAGTTCACTATTGTCTGGAGAGTGTCTCCGGTTAAACACAAAAATAGACCGAAAAATTTTCCCTTCTGTTTTTTCTTTTGCTATTGAATGTGGGACCTGCGCAGCGTGGTGGGTTGTGTGGTGGGTTGTGTGGTGGGTTGTGTGGTGCGTTGTGTGGTGGGTTGTGTGGTGCGTTGTGTGGTGGGTTGTGTGGTGGGTTGTGTGGTGCGTTGTGTGGTGGGTCGTGAGGTGCTTTGTGTGGTGGTTTGTGTGGGCGTTGTGTGTGGGTTGTGTGGTGGGTTTGTCGTGCGTTGTGTGGTGGTTTGTGGTGCGTTGTGTGGTGGGTTTGTGTGGTGGGTTGTGTGGTGCGTTGTGTGGTGGGTTGTGTGGTGGGTTGTGTGGTGGGTCGTCTAGTGGGTCGTCTGGGAGGAAGAGTAAATTAAGATACGATGAGAGAATGCGACATGTGAGCCTCCGAGGACAACACTTTCATTCTCTCTTACTGATTTTCTCTCTCTAGCGCGCGCGAGCGCTTTATTTTATTTTTTCATTCCTTTTTGTTGTTTTTACTCTTTCTCTCCTATTTATAACCTGGATCCATTTTCCCTCTCATGTAGCTCTTCTTCTGATGGTTCATTTTATTTAAATCTATTCTTCATTTACGTACACAAACTCTGTCTCTGTCTCTCTGTCTCTCTCTGTCTCTCTTTCTCTCTCTTTCACACACACACAATTCTCACGTTTGACCACTTACCAATTAGGTTAGCGCTGGCTGCCACAAAATAGAAGGCTGTGGTAGCGAGGAGTGTAGTGTGGTTGAGCGAGGGCAACCTGATGTGTGTGTTAACCACCTGGGTGACCTCCCTCCAGCAGTCCTCTGCGCTAGTCCCTGCTCCCATGCCCGTCACCAAGTACGTCACCTCTTCCACCTTGAATCTGCCGAAGGAGCCGACGGGGAGACAGGTGGTGCGCAACATGTGATCAAGGTGCTCGTCAGCAGTCTCCCCTCGCCGCATTGCATTTTCTGTGGGATCTGTTGTCACCCCGTTTTCTATGTCCCCCTTTGCAGGGTGAACTATACGATGTTCCGATTCCCTTCGTGAAGTTGTCGCAGTATCTTCGTGATCAGTTTGTTCATCTTGGCTTGAGGTATCGCTGGAAGGCTCAATGGAGTCCTGACTCCTCGGATCGTCCTGCCTTGGCACACCTGCCGAAGGAGGAGTTTCCGGCATGAGGCCGCCGACATCTCCTACAGCAGTGTCTGAGCCTACGTCTTCCTTCTGCTTCCTGCTGCTGCTGCTGCCGCCGTCGGGAACACGGAACAACAAACCTTCTAAGGAGGTCCGGATTAATTTCTCTGTAGATTTGATTTCACTTTGAACCTCGCTATTCTCCGCAGGTTTGATAACCCTTTCGTTGGGCACGGTGAAGAGGAGGTCAGTGACCGAGTAAATGGCTTGCTTAGAGGTCTTGGCGGTGCCATTCAGGTATTCTGATTTACTGTTATTATTATTATTATTATCGACGGACGAGGAATAAGTATCCTCTGGGGATTCACCTGTCTCAGTGGCAGATGCCTTTATTATTATTATTATTATTATTAATATTATTATTATTATTATTATTATTATTATTATTATTATTATTATTATTGGCAGCGACGGGCCCGCCCTCACTGCCACTGACGTTGAGATAAGAGGAACTTTGTCTGGCGTAAACACTTCCACCATCGCGTCTAACAGCACTCTCACTGTCACGTCTAGAAACTTTCTCACCATCAGTACTAGATTCACTCTGACTGGTTAATTTAGGTACACTTTCACTATGAGCAACTTTAGCAGCACTTACTTTATGGTCAAAAGTAAAAGTGCCATTGTTTGTTGTCCCAGACATAGTCGTAACACTAGTAGAATTAAGAGAAACACTGCGATTAACACTTATAGAAATATTATTATTATTAGATTCTATATCACTGTTAGGTATAGAAGAACTGTCACTTTCAGAACTAGAAAAACTGTCACTGTCAGAGGTAATGCCACTATCAGTCACTGTTCTGGGGACAGTGACACCTTTTGTTATAAACAAACGTTCGCTATTAGACTTTGCAACATTTGTAAAGTTGCTCTGAGACTTTGTAACCTTTGTAGAGTTGCTATGAAGACCAGCTACGGAGCTCCTGCCATGTGCTGGTCGTCGGCGTCTTTTGGTGTTGGAGTGGTGGGGAGGAACTCTCTCCCTCAGAGGGTGGTGGGGAGGAACTCTCTCCCTCAGAGGGTGGTGGGGAGGAACTCTCTCCCTCAGAGGGTGGTGAGGCGACACTCTCTCCCTTACTGAGTGAAGGGAAGCCTCTCTTCCCCTCATGGAGTGCTGGGGAGTTTCTCGCTTCCTCATGGAATAGTGTGGAGCTCCGCTCTCCGTCGTGGAGCGGTGTGGAGCCCCGCTCTCCCTCGTGGAGTGGTGTGGAGCCCCGCTCTCCCTCGTGGAGCGGTGTGGAGCCCCGCTTTCCCTCGTGGAGGGGTGTGGAGCCCCGCTTTCCATCATGGAGGGGTGTGGAGCCCCGTTCTCCATCATGGAGGGGTGTGGAGCCCCTTTTTCCGTCATGGATTCTTCTTCCACTTTATATCGTGGGTTGTTTTTGTAACTGCTTATCTTGCTGAGAGAGCCTCCTGGGCTCTCCACTGCAGCTGCTGGCTCCTCTGCTTCTGCAGCTCTCCTTCCTCGTCCTCTTTCATCCTTTGCTTCCCCGTCATAATTTTCCCCCTCTGTATTAAGGTTGTCATTATTCTCTGCATTGTTCTCATTCTCTCCGTCATCAGCGTCGCTTGGTGTTTCCACTATTCCCATCTTTCTTCTTCTGCTGCCTTTATTATTGGCAATTCTCCTCCTCCTCTCGTTTCTCCTTCTAAAGCGTTCTTCTTGAGGGACGTCTCCAGTCCCTGGTCTTCTTCCCGCTCCTCTTTCTTCCAGGTTTAAGTTAGCATTTTCCTGCCTCTCGTTTCTCTTCCTCTCCAGTTCTTCACTCGCTGATCCTATGGACTGGAGAATGGAGTCCACTACAGTTTTTACTTTCGCCAGAGTCTCGTTTATCCAGGTGCTGGGTGTAGTGTAGACAGAAGGAGATGGTGGAGGAGCGGGAGGAGGAGGAGGAGGAGGAGGGCTTGTGGGGGAAATATGGGTACTAGGAGAGGGAGGAGATGGAAGGGAAGGGGAGGTTGTGGAGGCTGGTTGTGGAGACTGTTGATGATGAGCATCACTGTCGTTACTCTTCAGCTCGGTGTATTCCTCCTCTGGGGGAATGTCAGAGCGGTGGTGGGCGGTGGGGGGCGGGATCGGTGGGGGGATGTCTGCCTCCCCAGTCTCCCCTACAACCCCAGCTTCCTTCCCAGGGGCAGGGAAGAGACGGATGATGTTTCCACTCTGCAGAACCTTGACTCTAGCCGGGTAAATACCCATAGGAACACTGCAGTGAAAAATTAAGTTCGTCTCAAAAGCCATGAAATAAGTTGCATACTGATAATCACGACACATGTGCAACAGTTGGGCACCTTTATTGTTGAAACGTTTCGCCACACAGTAGGCTTCTTCAGTCAAATACAAAAAATGATGTAATTAGTCTATCAACCTCGGAGAAATAGTATTCGAGGTGGTCAGTCCCTCAGCCTTGAGAAGAGTTGAGCGCCATGATCTGGAACGATATCGTTCCAGACTGAGGGACTGATTACATCATTTGCATTTCACTACTACACCTGCTGCCTCTGTATTTGACTGAAGAAGCCTACTGTGTAGGCGAAACGTTCAACACAGTAAAGATACCAACTGTTGCACATGTGTCTTAACCAGCTCGTCGGTATTTTATACCATTTTCAACACAATTAATAATACTTTATGTGAGATTAAGCAGATAGTTTTTTGACAAGAAAAAATAAATTCCATCTTCCTCAGTACTAAATTTGCCGATGAAAAAAATAATGTAATTTAATGGATAGTTTACAGAGGAAAAGTAAATCATTTAAACATCAAATTCGCACCAGAAACTCTCGAGGAAAACATTAAAAAATATTCGAAGTGGTAAAGATTTTTTTTATATATATATCAGATGCTCTTCCCCGGGTCTCTGAGTATCTCAACACCTTGATGATGTGGGTAAGAAGAATCTCGTTAATCTCTTAAGATTGAACAGATTTTCTTTTATCCCGAAACGAGAATCAATATTAAAAAACAAAAAACAAATCGTAGCTAGAGATTAACTTTGAAACCTTGTTAAAATTATGCATGATAGTTTGTACTACCCACCTGGAAGATATAGTATGATAGTTTGTACTACCCACCTGGAGGATATAGTATGATAGTTTGTACTACCCATCTGGAAGATATAGTATGATAGTTTGTACTACCCACCTGGAAGATATAGTATGATAGTTTGTACTACCCACCTGGAAGATATAGTATGATAGTTTGTACTACCCATCTGGAAGATATAGTATGATAGTTTGTACTACCCACCTGGAAGATATAGTATGATAGTTTGTACTACCCATCTGGAAGATATAGTATGATAGTTTGTACTACCCATCTGGAAGATATTGTATGTGATAGTTTGTACTACCCATCTGGAAGATATAGTACGATAGTTTGTACTACCCACCTGGAAGATATAGTATGATAGTTTGTACTACCCACCTGGAAGATATAGTATGATAGTTTGTACTACCCACCTGGAAGATATAGTATGATAGTTTGTACTACCCACCTGGAAGATATAGTATGATAGTTTGTACTACCCACCTGGAAGATATAGTATGTGATAGTTTGTACTATCCACCTGGAAGGCATTGTATGTGGTAGTTTGTACTACCCACCTGGAAGATATTTATGTGATAGTGTGAACTACCCACCTGGAAGATATTTATGTGATAGTGTGAACTACCCACCTGGAAGATATTGTATGTGATAGTGTGAACTGCCCATCTGGAAGATATTGTATGTGATAGTGTGAACTACCCACCTGGAAGCAAAGAGCCAATATTTATGGGAGGGCGAGCAGCGGTATGTGATGTTTGGTGCACTGAAGAGATTTCTCAGTTCTCGTCTTGTTCGTTGGTCGCCCCTCTCATCCTCTGTGGTAATGCTGGGAACAATTGTATACATCGTCTTGTTCTCCTGATGACGATGATTCACGAGGTTGTTGAGCCTGGAGGCCAGAGGTGTCTCCTCTGCTGGTGAGTGGAGGCTCTGGTTAGCGTATCTTCTCGAGTGCTCACAGCTGCTGCTGACCATCCCCGCCTGCAGTGGCAGCTGTTCCGTACTCTGGCAGTCCTCTCCAAACTCTCCAGGCACTTTCAATTTCCCTCCAGTAATACTTCGCCCCTGTGTCGAGGCGAGGACTTCCCATTCCTTACACTTTGGATTCCTTTTCTTCCCGGCGAATCTGCTGTCTATCCAGTCACTGGAATTTTGAGATCTTTTCTGGGATTTGTTGTAGCTGTTTTGTCTAGTCTCACGCTTTCTCCTGCGCTTTAGTATTCGATTTAATCTCACTTTAACCTCCGCTTTTATTGTTTTTCTTATATCTTCTGATGACCTCTTAAGATCTTGCCTTGCATTGAAATGCCGCCACCTCCAGCGAGAAAACCCTGCAAGCCAGCCTCCAGAGCCTCTGCTCTCTAAGATCCCATGCCATTGACTCGTGAAGCGAAAGGGCGCGGGTAATTCTCTTCTCTTTCTTCGATTGCTTTTTCTCTGCATGGCTGATTCGCTACCCTTGGCAGGGCCTGAAAACCGATGTAGCTTATAAAATGTCTTTTGTTCATCCCTGGTGGGGGCTCTTGCTCTCCCTCCCTTCCCTGTCTTCCAGCGCCGGTGAAGACTACGGTAGTGACGCGCATGACGTGGGTTCCGCGCTGTTTCTGATCTTACAGGATGATCTGAACTTTTGGTGATAGTGTCACTTGGGGGTATCCCGCGTATCTGGGACCCCAGTACACGCCACTGTATCCATAAAGAACTTTTATCTTCATACTTCCTGTCTTTCTTCTTGAAAGATCTGAATTTGTTTTTACTTTCTATGGTTTTTGAGCCTAAGATTCCCGAGGATGGTTGAGTCACATGATCTGTCTGGCCGGGAGCCACGACTCTTGATGGATTAAGTGAATAATGTTTGTTGTTACTGTTTATCGTGGGAGTCTCCAGGGATGAGTTTCTTACACTGCCTCGTCTGGAAATCCGTCGACGGATGGCTCCATCCAGCCTCTTCCTCACTTTGGCTCTTGGCTTTGTATTTATTTCCTGAGGGGTTCTAATATGAGCAGAGTTGAGTGTTACTGGGATCTGTCTCTCTCGAGTTATCACGCCATGACGCCATCGATTTATTCTCTGCTGTCTTTCCTTCCGGGTGACAGCCTGAGTTCTTCGTCTACCTTGAAATCCATATTTCCTCCTTTGTTTTGAATTTTTCTCATGTTTAACTTTTCTGTTTTTGTTATTTTTATTAACGTTCCTGTCTTTCTTTGTCACTGTTGCAACATTCATAATTTTTTTCATTGTCACACTTTCGAAAGATATTTCTTGCTTCCTCGCTTCGCGAATATCTTCATCCTCATTACCTGCAGCAATATCACCTTGCCCGGCTTCGTCTGAATTGGGCAAAGCTCTTCCAGTAATCACTCCATCACTCTGGCGTTCCCTCGAGGGTTTCAACGTCTTCGAACTCATTTCATGTATTGTTTCCCTCTCCTGAGATCCTCTTCTGTGATCCTTCCTGTGTTTTTTTCTCTTGTCCTTCCAGCTGGTTCTTGATGATTCGAGAGACCTCTCAGTGTGGTTTCGATTGAGAGTGTCTGCTCCTTTCCTGACCGAGTTAGCGTCTGGCCCAGTGACAGGATTTCCAGGAAGATGTGGCTGGGCTTCCCGACTCTGCATTACTGGTGTAGTGGACTGTGAGATGCTTATCTCGTCGAATCCGTGATTATCCTCGACTGATCCTCTTCCAGGTCCACCTGGATTAGCGTTTAACAACTCTCCGGTCGCAAGAGGTATCACAGAAGATGGAGATCTGAGTGAATCGATGCTTTTATTTTTTAAATCGACTTCAGGTAACAGTGTCTGCCTAGTGGCAGTGTAAGTACTGTTTATGTGTTTTCTTCTCTTTGGTTTCTTTTGGTTCATTTTTTTCTGTCTTTTTCTGTGTTTTCTCTGTCGTCTCCGTCGTGATGAGCTTGGGTGGGTCCGAGGTCTGCGTCCTCCTGGGTGTGAGTGACTTGTTCTTGTGTAAGTGTGAGATACGATGGAATCATCGGCTATTCTTGTCATTTTTTTATCTTGAGCTGTACCCAGGAATTTCATTGATGAGATTTGTTGTTGAATAATAGTGTCGGAGGTATTTACGTGAAGGCTAGATGCACTTCCTCTTCTCCTGGTGTGTGCTCCTTCTTCATTTGAATGTTGATCTTCCTGTTCTCGACTCTTCTTTAGTTTATCACTCTGAAGTCTTTTACTATCATTCTCGTTGCTGTCCTTGTGCTTATCACTTCTTTTTCTCGGGTCTTGCTTCCTCTTTTCCTCTTCCGCTTTCCCCAGTGTTCCTTTTTGCTCTGTTTCCCCTCTCTTCGCTTCTTCACCTTCCTGGACCCTCGCTAAGCCAGGCGTTAATCCCACAGAAGTCTCCTCTCCATCCACGGGTAGAGGACCCCTCAAATCGCTCCCAGTTCCCCTATTATCCTCTATCATCCTCCGTTCCCCTCTTCCTTGTGTATTCTTGTCTTGAAATGCATCAGCAGAGGAATTGGTAAAATGATCTTGTATGCGAAATTCTTTATAAGTTCCGTGTCTTACCTCGCTGGTTTGAAGACTCTCTTTAGGTTTTGGGATTTCTTCTCCACTTACATGACGATTAACTTGACGCAATTGTTTATGAGAGTCTGACGTGTTGGAGTTTGTCACATTCATAGGAACTTCCTGAGAGGATTCCCTCTCACTGTCCTCCACTTTATTCTTTCCTCCTGCCTTCGCTTCCTCCTGCTCTGCTTCCTTCGCTATTTCCGGTTCTCTCGCCTCCTGCTGTCCTCTCATCATCCTCACCTCCCTCACCTGTCCCTCTCCTGTCACTCTGCCAGTGGCACTCCTCACTCCTCCCCTCATCACCCCACCTGACACACTACCTGTGGCACTCCTCACCTCTTCCATCACCACACTCGCTCTATTATCACTCATCCGAACGCTTCCACTGGAGGTGTGATGGTTTCCACCTATCTGAACACCTGTACTGGAGGTGCCATGGTTTTCACTCGCCCGGACCCCTCCACTGGAAGCCTCTCTAGATTGATAATTACTACTTCTACTAATAGAAAATAATCCCAGTGTACTACTAATGTTTCTTTTTACACTGTCACTTTGTTCTCCTGAACCACCGAGCTTCTGGCGTCTACTTTCATGACGTCCTTCACCCTCTCCCTGCTTCTGTCTCTCCTGTCTTTTCTTTTCTATGGCTTTTCTGATGTATTCTGGCGGTCCACTGAGAGGTATTGTCACCCGGAGAGTCCCGCCCCCCAGGTCAGCTGTAGCCAGTGGCGTGTTGGTATTTTGATACAATCGACCTGATTGGATGAAACAAAAATGTAAACGGCAGATTTTTTTTTTTTGGGTATATGAATTCTGATTGGTTAAAATAAGAATGTCAACAACAAATTTATTTGATGCAAGCGTTGTGGTTGGTTCAGACGAGTAACTGTCAGATAGAAGAGACCTGATTGGATGAAACAAAAAATAAGAACAGCAAATTACCTTGTTAATGAGCTTCTGATTAGCTAAAAGAAATCTTGAGACATAAATGTGTAGAACTGATTGAGAAGTTAGGCGAAATGGGCGCGCGTACGCGCACACACACACACACACACACACACACACACACAAAGCAGATCGCTAAATATGCTCCCAGATTTGAAGCAGTATCGCTATGTGCTTAAGATATTATTAGCGGTCATCGTACGTGAGTGAATCAGTGAACATACCTACAAGAGTGTAACAGCTTTCAAGAGTGAGAATAATGTGATAAGATCAAGAATTTTACAATTTAAATTTGAATGAATGGTGAGTGAGGGAGGGTAGCAGTCAGCTGATCAGGCTGCTGGCCGCAGTGTTGACACAAAATAACCAAACAGTTAATTGGGTTAACGGTTGTGAACTGAAATATAAAAAAATACAGTTAATGGTTGTATAACAGAGTGTAGTGATAAGGTAATAAAACAGTGATTGAAGTTAAATACTGAGAAGTAAGAAAAATTAGGTCAAATCCACCAGCTGTTGGTGTTGTGAGGTAAGCTAACATTCATCAGACTTGTTTATGACCATAATACTTTACTAAAGAAAGAAGAGTGTATACCAAGCTTAAAATAAAAATAAAATAAAACTTGAATGCTGATAATATTCCTGAGGAATTACATAAGTGAGGAGTTGATAGCAGCCGACCAGCAGACCTCCACTTGTTGTGCAGACGACATCACTTGCATGTGTGTATAATTTGGTTAGTTCTCAAGTCTTAGTGTCTCGCCCTGCTGTTGTATGCTATACCATCACTCTCTCTCTAGCTTTCAGTGCCAGGAATAGATAGTGGTAACCCTGATAATATTTAGTAAATTAATCTAATATCTTCAGAAGAGTAGTGTAGCCTAGTGGCCCCCCCGAAAGCGCAAGCTAGTACAAGTACGTACATACAAACACACGTGTGCACCAGTATTATATTAAAATATTAGTATTATTATAAGGATTGAGTAAGAATATCCATAATCTTCAAAAAGAAATGTGCCTGTGTGCAAACGGCCGAGAGTACCGGTGAACCAAGAACAACAAAGATCCGGGCCGCGAGAGTACCGGTGAACCAAGAACAACAAAGATCCGGGCCGCGAGAGTACCGGTGAACCAAGAACAACAAAGATCCGGGCCGGGAGAGTACCGGTGAACCAAGAACAACAAAGATCCGGGCCGGGAGAGTACCGGTGAACCAAGAACAACAAAGATCCGGGCCGGGAGAGTACCGGTGAACAAGAACAACAAAGATCCGGGCCGGGAGAGTACCGGTGAACCAAGAACAACAAGATCCGGGCCGGGAGAGTACCGGTGAACCAAGAACAACAAAGATCCGGGCCGGGAGAGTACCGGTGAACCAAGAACAACAAAGCTCCGGACCGGGAGAGTACCGGTGAACCAAGAACAACAAAGATCCGGGCCGGGAGAGTACCAGTGAACCAAGAACAACAAAGATCCGGGCCGGGAGAGTACTGGTGAACCAAGAACAACAAAGATCCGGGCTGGGAGAGTACCGGTGAACCAAGAACAACAAAGATCCGGGCCGGGAGAGTACCAGTGAACCAAGAACAACAAAGATCCGGGCTGCGAGAGTACCGGTGAACCAAGAACAACAAAGATCCGGGCCGGGAGAGTACCAGTGAACCAAGAACAAAGATCCGGGCCGGAGAGTACCGGTGAACCAAGAACAACAAAGATCCGGGCCGGGAGAGTACCGGTGAACCAAGAACAACAAAGATCCGGGCCGGGAGAGTACCGGTGAACCAAGTAACAACAAAGATCCGGGCCGGGAGAGTACCGGTGAACCAAGAACAACAAAGATCCGGGCCGGGAGAGTACCAGTGAACCAATAACAACAAAGATCCGGGCCGCGAGAGTACCGGTGAACCAAGAACAACAAAGATCCGGGCCGGGAGAGTACCAGTGAACCAAGAAACAAGATCCGGGCCGGAGAGTACCGGTGAACCAAGAACAACAAAGATCCGGGCGGGAGAGTACCGGTGAACCAAGAACAACAAAGATCCGGGCCGGGAGAGTACCGGTGAACCAAGAACAACAAAGATCTGGGCCGGGAGAGTACCGGTGAACCAAGAACAACAAAGATCCGGGCCGGAGAGTACCGGTGAACACAGAACAACAAAGATCCGGCCGGGAGAGTACCGGTGAACCAAGAACAACAAAGATCGGGCCGGGAGAGTACCGGTGAACCAAGAACAACAAAGATCCGGGCCGGGAGAGTACCGGTGAACCAAGAACAACAAAGATCCGGGCCGGGAGAGTACCAGTGAACCAATAACAACAAAGATCCGGGCCGCGAGAGTACCGGTGAACCAAGAACAACAAAGATCCGGGCCGGGAGAGTACCAGTGAACCATAAACAAAGATCGGGCCGGAGAGTACCGGTGAACCAAGAACAACAAAGATCCGGCCGGGAGAGTACCGGTGAACCAAGACAACAAAGATCCGGCCGGGAGAGTACCGGTGAACCAACAACAAAAATCCGGGCCGGGAGAGTACCGGTGAACCAAGAACAACAAAGATCCGGGCCGGGAGAGTACCGGTGAACAAGAACAACAAAGATCCGGGCCGGGAGAGTACCGGTGAACCAAGAACAACAAAGATCCGGGCCGGGAGAGTACCGGTGAACCAAGAACAACAAAGATCCGGGCCGGGAGAGTACCGGTGAACCAAGAACAACAAAGATCCGGGCCGGGAGAGTACCAGTGAACCAATAACAACAAAGATCCGGGCCGCGAGAGTACCGGTGAACCAAGAACAACAAAGATCCGGGCCGGGAGAGTACCAGTGAACCAAGAACAAAGATCCGGGCCGGGGAGAGTACCAGGTGAACCAAGAACAAAAGATCCGGGCCGGGAGAGTACCGGTGAACCAAGAACAACAAGATCCGGGCGGGAGAGTACCGGTGAACCAAGAACAACAAAGATCCGGGCCGGGAGAGTACCAGTGAACCAAGAACAACAAAGATCCGGGCCGGGAGAGTACCGGTGAACCAAGAACAACAAAGATCCGGGCCGGGAGAGTACCGGTGAACCAAGAACAACAACAATAGTGTTAACGTGACCCCCCGCCGTCTTTTTCAAAGTACGACAAGCTAGTAAACACACACACACACAAACACAAGTGTACACAGTAAATATTATATAGTATATACTAGTGTATATTAATAAGGAATTGATTGTGAAAAAATTTATAATCTTCAAAAGAGTAGCACGCACATGCGCACACACATACACACCCATACACACACACACATACACATACACATACACCATACACATACACACACACAGAGATACATACATACACAACACATATACACATACAACATACACACACACACACACACACACACACACACACACCACACACACCACACACACACACACACACATATACATACACACACATGTACATACACACACACACACACACACACACACACACACACACACACACACACACACACACACACACACACGCACACAGGACAGGAGAGATAGGGGGGACATGATAACGACATACAAAATACTGAGAGAATTGACAAGGTGGACAAAGACAGGATGTTCCAGAGATTGGACACAGTAACAAGGGGACACAGTTGGAAGCTGAAGACACAGATGAATCACAGGGATGTTAGGAAGTATTTCTTCAGCCACAGAGTAGTCAGTAAGTGGAATAGTTTGGGAAGCGATGTAGTGGAGGCAGGATCCATACATAGCTTTAAGCAGAGGTATGATAAAGCTCACGGCTCAGGGAGAGTGACCTAGTAGCGATCAGTGAAGAGGCGGGGCCAGGAGCTCGGACTCGACCCCCGCAACCTCAACTAGGTGAACTAGGTGAGTACACGCACACGCACACACGCAAACCTAACATAACACATTAGCTCATAAATCCCCCCACCACACACACACATTTTTACGATAAGCTGAAGCAGCTGGAACATCCCAACAGGATAAAAACAAAATGGGCTCTCAAAAGGGAGGACGTAAAGGCAAGGGAACTGATGATGGCTGGTCGGAAAAGGAAGAATGGGTAGAAAGGCTCAAGAACAAAATGGAACAACAATGGGAAAAAAGGTTAAACGAGCTTTGCAATAACATGCTCGAGCAAATATCTGCAGAGAGCACGAAGTGGGAATCACGAGCTGTAGTAGCTGAGGCAAAGATACAGAGATTGGAGGAAGAAATGGAAGTGCTGAAGCAGGATCTAAAGATGAGGTCCGAAAGGAGCAAGATGACTGAAATGGAAACATCAGCAGGTAGCGAGGGGACTGAAGGAGGGGATGGATCTAAGAATTCTTTTGCAGCAGTAATATCAGGCCATCATGGTGTCTGGGAGATGATTAGGGAAACAGCAAAGGAGATGCTTAAATCAGATTCAGAGATACAGAGGGAAAAGAAATGGGAAGAGGAGAAGGAGAGGTCAATAATTATTCATGGGCTTCAGGAGGCTGAAGGGCAGACATATGATGAAAGAAAGCATTGAGAGAAAACAGAGATTAAGAACATCATTGCAGTAACAGGAGAGAGGGACATGTCTCAGGTAGAAAATTTTCACAGACTTGGGGGTATTCGAGGGAAAAAAATTCGACCAATCAGATTGACATTCAAGACAGATGTGGTAAGGAACAGGATACTACAACAGAAACCACTGTTAAAGGACTCTCCAGATTATCAAAAAGTGTTCCTAAATCGAGACAGAACACAAAAGAAAAGGGAACAACTGAAAATGAGAGCAAGACAGAACCAGTGGAAGGAAAGAGAGACAGGACAGGCAACGACAGACAGGAAAACTCAGCCTTTGGGGGAACATCAAACACAAATGCTTACAGAAACCTCTCAACCCCTGCCACCACATATCAACCAAACACAATAAACAGAAACGAACCTCACTCCATAGCTACGCCCCCCCAAG